AAAAAAGAAAACAGCCATCATATGACTTTGGTAAAACAATATGGTATCACAACAGTCATCATATGACACAAAAATCCTTATAATTCTGAGTTTGTCAATAAAGTATTAAAAGCTTTGATTCATTTCAATTAGCTCTTTCGTATGGACAAAATGGTAATTAAGTATATACAAAAAAATGGGATATGCTGTATATACATGTGTTATTATACTATATGTTATTAAGTTACATGAAAATAATTTATTTGTATGTGGTGGCAAAAACATTATCAATGGGTTTTAGAGGATGATGATGCAGTCTGAAAGGCGTTCTTAAGATCAATGAAGAAAGGATGGGGCGATAATATGAATGATGAACAGGATAAGTGGCGTACAAATGGTGAGTATAGGTTGGTATGGGTGCCTGAGCACCTATGGCCTACATTATGTGCTTATTGGGATTCTAATGAGTTTCACAATCTTAGCAAGAGGGGGAAGAAAAACCGAGCATCTGGGGAACGAGTTACACACACTATAGGATTAGTGAGTTTTGATGTAGATGAAGAATGGATGGTAAGTAAGAAAAGAAAGAAAAGTGTATATATATATAACAGATAATGAACACAAGTTATACTATTTTTGTATAATTATCGATTAACTATAAATATAAATAACTTGCTAACCTCGTATAATATGGTTTTGACACACAGACCAAAGCTGCTGGGGGGGTAAGGCCAGCACACCAAGAGCTATACAAGGAAACACATACTTTAGGAAAAGGTGTCCCCCAAGGACAAGAACCTCCATGGTGTGGCAACAAACATAAGACTCGTCATGTAAGTGCAAACATACTAGATAAAAAGTTTCTATTAGTGACATATATTGTTAGAAAAAGTGAATTAAATGTTTATTAATAAAGTTAGTGGTGTTAAATAAAATATAACAAAAATTTTGCATAAGTATTAGTATGTGTAGGTGTTCATGAAACAATTTTTTTTTGGTATTGATTGTCTCTGGATGATTGCTACTTTGTTATCACTTGTTCGTAAATAATAATGATTACATTTTCAGCATTGTTATGTGTATACAACATTTAAAAATTTGCAATTATATGTTGTAGGTTTTTTTTGCATTACTTTTGTAGGATACATATGTCAGTGAGTGTTCTGCTATATATGGCTCGGACTTAGCATCATGGCCACCTCAGGACAATGATGCTTGGGCAACTACTGTTGGGGGATGCCACAGCAATTTCATACCGAGAATTGGTTCACAAGTAAACCCAGAGGAATTTGGGTTTACATATAGAAAACGACAACCAAAGGGGACTTCATATGTGAGCTTGATGATATCAGACCTGGCTGAAAAATAAGCAAAAGATAGGAAGGCAATGCAAATGATGCGAGAGGAAATAGGGCAAGTTAAAGAGCAACAAGAAGCAATGCAACGAATGTTGGAAGACATGGGGAGGATGCAGGCTTCTCTATCTGTCACGCCCCAAAACCCAATTTCGAGACGCGACAGACGCCGTGCACTCGTGAGACGGGTCCCACAAATGCACAAGGCTCGGAACTTATCATATCACACTCTGATACCATCAAAATATGAAGATCAAATTATAAAATTTTCTCTGATATCATAAAATCTCCAAACACAAGATCATGATTTATTCCTAAACTCAATATCAATCTCGAATTGGCTAGCCTTCTAACTCGTCACTTCCCGTGGTTTCCCCGTCCTCGGTTTCACTTCTTGAAATGGTGGACAAGGAAAACTATGAGATAAACTCAGTAAGTAAATATGGAGTGCCCCTTATCAAACTTAAAGCATGCCAACAAGTACAAGCACGAAAACAGATACAGTACGGGCATGAAATAGACGTCTCCTCTATAGGTCACGGCCAGTGTATAATCCCCACTAGCAGGGCCACGATTTGCTAGTGTATAACCCCCACTAGTTGGGTTGAACGAACCGGCTCTTTCACTAACATGTCGACATGTGCTAGCGTTTATAACCTCCCCCACTAGCAGGGTCACGAATAACATGACCACATCGGAGACAAAACAGGCAGAAGTTAACAGGCAAATCACAATTCACAATCACTTTCAGATCATCAGGACAATCACTTAAATTTCAAGTAGGCATGCTCAATTTCATGAAAAGCACAAAACATTTCACTTCAAATCAATCATGCTCGTGTAAAACGGGTTTAGTCCCGCCACCACTTCAAAAACAAATCAAAACATGCTTTTAAAACAGTACGGGCATTACCATAAATTTACTTACCTCACTTGCATAAAACCGAGCACTCAATTCACGTACTAACTGACAGAACGATCAGGAACCTAATCAAAACACCTCAGAATTAATATCGGACTATCACAAATTCAAGCTGAAATCATCATTAGGATCATTCCTAATCACAATGCTATTTCTATCACTTTCCACATGATCGGACATCTCCAAATTCGTTCTCATATCACAAACTAATCATTTAAATTCCCGTTAAATGTTGGCCCTCGGGGTGTGAACAGTAACTGGTGAACAGTGCCGGTGAACAGTACCCCGATGTGAGCAGTAACTCAACTTCCACAAATTGGCCAAAACACTAGCTAATTCACGGGATTTTTCTCTCCAAAAATCACAACAATCTAAATCAAGCTAATTTACACTTAAACCAAGCTTAAAACATGTTCATAGGCTACCAGAATTCCCCATTTTTCCAACACAATTCGGACATACAAGGCAGCAAACAATTGATGAAATTCAAGCTTGGAGGAGCTGTCAACTTACCCACAATTTTCTAGCAAGCAACACCGGACCTGGTGGAGGGAAGAAGCCGGCGGCAAGGAAGGAAAATTCTGCAGGGGACTCACGGTTTAACCCAAAATTAAAGGAGCCCAACTTAAATCAAAGCTAAAGAAGGGAGAATTCGCACTATTTCTTACCAAAAACCGGAGCAAATCATACCCCACAAGCAAGAGCAGCCGGCGGACGGGGGAGGAAAGACAGAGCAGATCCGGAAGCTTCCTGCAGGGGGGAGATTTCTGGGTTCTAGAAGTGTTCTAGAGCAAGAAAAGAAGGAGAAAACCAAGCTTTCTACCGGTTTCCTCAAGGCATGGCTGGGTTTCCCTTTTTTTTCTCTTCAGGTGGCTGTAGCGGGAAGACAAGAAGAAGAGCAGAACACACGGGCTGGAAGAAGAAAAGAAAGAAGAAAAAGAAAAAGAAAAGAAGTTGATCCTTATCCAAAACTCTTCCACTTTTAAGTCCCTCAACTTTTGAAATATTCACATTAGGCCCCAAAACAATCTTTTCTCACAATCAAGTCCCAAACTTACACTTAAATATTCCCGAAAATTTGGGATATTACACTATCGCAGCAATTTGCTGCTTTTAGTGCCTACGGGATGCGCCCGCCTAGTGCTACCCCATCATTGCCTCACACTTGACAAGCATTTCCTCCTGTAGGGACACCATTCCCTACTGCTAGGCCATCATTTCATGCTAGTGGGCCATCATTTCCTCATGCAATGCCAATGCAAATGCCAATAGAACCTGCATTCCCCATAGGCCAAATGGGGAGATAGTTAGAATCTCCAAGTACATCTTCAGCCAATCCCCCACAAGATGATTATGGTTACCAGCTGAGATTTGATTTAGATTACCAGGGTCCATTTGGGCTGGAATGATTCATGTGCATGAGGTTGCGAATGCAAAACTTGGCTTGTTCTTGATACTTGAGGAAAATACTTTTAGTTTTTGGAAGGGTGATTTGAACTTGTTAGGACATGGGTGTATATGTCAATTGGAATTGAATGGTTTGTGGTAATATTAACTGAATTACTATAACTTGCAAGTTTAGAATATGCAAATGCAAATGGTCATGCTAAATGTTACAGGTGGTACTTATATACTTATCTTTTAATTTATGATTATGAGATGAGGGAATTATATAAGTGGTACACATTTATAATAATGTGATGAATTGAAAACATGTGATATGATAAATGACATTGTATGTAATGTAATATGGTAAAATCAAAGTGCAGTAAGAACAAGTACAAAAGTTGGGGCATGTTAGAGAGGTTTGAGCATTTCATGCATGTTAGAGTCAACTATATACATCAAGAATCGACTATCAACCCTTCAAGAGTTGACTGAATAAGAGCAACATTGGACTCCTGAATTCCAGAGAGGTTTGAGCATCCTGCTGCAGGTTAGAGTCGACTCTATACATCAAGAATCGACTCTAAAGCCTCCAAGATTTGACTATAAAGGAGCAACATTCGACTCCCAAATTCCAAAGAGGGTAGAGCATCCTCCTACATGTTAGAGTCGACTTTATACATGAAGAGTCAACTCTAACTCCTCCAAGAGTCGACTATATAGGAGCAACATTCGACTCCCAAATTCCAGAGAGGTTCGAGAATCCTGTTGCAGGTTTGAGTCGACTCTAAATCCTCCAAGAGTCGACTATATAAGATCAACATTCGACTCCCAAATTCCAGAGAGGTTCAAGCATCTGCTGCAGGTTAGAGTCGACTCTATACATAAAGAGTGGGACTTTAACGCCTCCAAGATTCGACTATAAAGGAGCAACATTCGACTCCCAAATTCCAGAGAACAGGGAAAGTTTCCCGTGGTAGGTATAGTCGACTATGTTCTTTTAAGAGTCAACTCTTATATTAAAAGTCGACTAAGGGCAAAAAACTGTAGTAAGTTTATGTGAAATATCTATATAGCCTGATATACATGTTCACACATATTTTTAGATAAATTAGTGTTTTAAATTATTTATATATATTAATAAAAAATCTAATTATATTAATTAATTTATTAGTATTAAATAAAAGTTAATAGATTAATAAAAATTTAATAATAAATAAAATTTCAGATATAAAAGAATTTTTTTAAGATTAAGAATTAATTAAAATATATTAATTTTAATAATTGAGTAGTGGGGCGGGGAAAATATGAATTTTAAATTTTAGCAACATAGTGTACGTTGCTGATGAGTGTAAATTTAAAATTTAAATATGTTTTAGCAACATAGAGCATGATGGTAATGATGTGATGGACTTTCAGCAACATAGTTCTTGTTGCTGAAAGTCTTTTATATACCCTTTCCCTCATCCATTTTCCATGCATTCTGTAGATGCCTTCAACTCATTTTCTCTCCTATGCTGCACAATCCTCAACCATCTCCACATGCATGTCTGCTCAACCCACCTCATTCTCATGCGCATGTTGGACAATCCCCAGCCATCTCCATGTGTTATGCAATTCTCGACGCTTCCTTCTCCTGTGTGCTGCACCATCCTAGCTCAGCCATCGATCTCCATGTACATACGTGTTCTGCACCCATGCTACAAATATCCACATAGCTAGCTCCTTCTCCTGCGTGTTGGAGATATCCTCAGCCATCTCCAGTCGAATCCTTCTCCTGTTGTGTGCTGCAATTCTCTCCAACCGGCCGCAGGATCTTGAACCTGAAACATTCGACACTATACATCAACATTCGACTCTCAGCTTCTGTTTTTTTTTTTCTTGTTAATATTAATTCCCTTGAAAACGCATTGTATGAAATATTTTTGTAAATATTACATTATTAATTAATTAGGTATCAATTTATATTATTTGAAAGTTTATATATTTATAAAT